CTTTCAAATGGAGTTTGTTTCCTTATAACTGAATTTCAAGAGTTGTTTACACATGCTGAATAAAAGGCTTTTTTGACAGATGTGTGATATTCAATGATTTCACTGAAGTCTATGGCTTATCTTCTTATTCTATTAGCCATGTATTTCACAGAGAAGAAATACATTGTTTTTCTTTTGGAAAGTTTGATAAAGTCTAATTTATCATTTTTTCTTATGGGTCATTCTTTTGGTGTCATTTCTGAGGAATGTTTGCTTAATGCAAGGCTAAAAGGTTTTTCTCTCGTATTTTCTTTTAGAAGTTTTGTATTTCCAGTGTTACTTTTAGATGTATAATATACTTTGAGTTAATTAGTTATGAAGTGTAAATTATGAGAGACTTTCATTTATCTGTTTGCATACAGATGTCCAGTAGTTTCAGTGATCTTTATTGAAAAGACAATCATTTCTTCATTAAGTTGCATTGAGTTGCCTTTGCAACTTAATACAAATCAATTGACTAATCCAAAATATACAGATAAAATATAAAATTTCCCACTATACCAGGAAAACAGGAGGCCAAAACTTAAAATCACAAAACGAATAAAAAAGACACTCACCAGATGCCAAAACTGACATGACACAGGAATTGAAATGATCTGCAATGATTTTAAAACAGGTTTCACAAAGATGCTTTTATCAGAAATTTCAAATTCTCTTGAAATAAGTGAAAAAATAAAAGAAGTAAAAAATTACAATGTAATAAAAAAGAACTAAATGTAAATTATAGACTGAAAATTAAAGTTACAAAAATAGAAAACTTACTAAGTTCAATGCTAGTGTGGATATAACAGTATAGAATCAGTGAACTAGAGGATAGTTCAAGAGGGTTTACCTAACTGAAACAACAAAGAAAAAGTAGGCTGAAAAGAATAAGTGAGAGTCTCAAAGACCTGGGAGACAATGATAAATTTGACATTTATATCATTGGAGTTTTAGAAAGATGGGAAAATAAGTGTGGGTTTAAAAGAGTACTTGGAATTTGACAGAAGACACAAACATATAGATTCAAGATGCTCCATGTAAACTAAACAGTACTAGCCCAAGGAAATCCACACCAAGACACATCATAGTCAGACTTTTAAAAACTAAAGAAAAAAAATTGAATACAGAGAAAAATGATGCATAGAAGAATACCAATATAAAAAACTGAATTTCTCAACTGAAATCATATAGGCCATAAGGAAGTGGCATAGCATTTTCAAGTGCTGAAATTAAAGAACTGTTAACTCAAAATTTTATATGCAGCAAAATATCCTTCAAGAGTGAATGGAAAATAGAGTTTCTCAGGTAAAAAAATTAAAAGAATTTGTTATAAGTAAACCTACCCCTAAAGAATAGCTACAGAAAGTTCACTTAACAGAAAAAAATATATATATATAGAAGGAGAAGCCTTGGAATCTCTGAAAGAAAACAAGAATATAGAATAGAGTAAAGATAGGGATAAAAATATAATAGTTTTTTTTTTTCACGTGGTTTCTGAATCATGTTTGACAGGTTGAAGTAAAAATTACAGCACCATCTGATATGGTGCTCAACGTGTGTAGAAGAAATATGTAAGACAACTATATTTAAAAAATGGGCAGGGTAAAGGGAGGTAAGTTAAAGTAGGGTTTCAATACTTAATTTGAAGCTGTTTAATGTTGGTATCAGTAGACTGTGATAAGTTGCATAAACACACACATACATGAGGACTAAACTCTTTTATTTTTATCTTGTCCAAATTTCTATCTAAGGGATTTGGGGAGCCATGCCCTACAAATAATAAATTATCATCAGATGGGTCTTATTTAACCCTATATATCATGATTTACTTTCCAAACTGACTCTGGCATAACATTGTGAGACAAAGAAGAAAATAAAAATATTTTATCCCCAAACATGTTTCTTTGCCATATTTTGAAATGGCCCTGGAAAGCTGTTCTTTGTCGGGAAAAATTTGCATCTGTAAAGAATCTCTGTTAACACAGCTAGATCTTTTTCTTCCAGACCCTCCTACACCTAAAGAGATTAAGATCTGGATAGGAAACCTTTGTCACCTATTGCCTGTAAGGGCAGCCACTGTAAGACTTTAAAGAACTTTGGTCTCCACAATCTTATCTTAACCTGAACATTCTCTTTCTATCTATCCCAGGTCTTCTGATAAACTCAACTAATTGTCAATCAGAAAATGTTTAAATTCACCTATAGCCTGGAAGCCCCTGCTTTGAGTTGTTCCACCTTTTGGGACCAAACCAATATGTTTCTTAAATGTGTTTGATTGAGGTCTCATGCCTCTGTAAAATGTATAAAACCAAGCTGCACCTCGACCACATTGGGAACATGTCCTCAGGACGTCCTGAGGGCTCTGTCAGGGGCCATGGCCACTCATATTTGGCTCAGAATAAATCTCTTCAAATATTTTACAGAGTTCGACCCTTTTCCCCTTTTATTCATATATCAAAGAAATTAAACTATAAAAAGAAGGATATTAAAGGCAGTATAAGCAAATAAAAATGGAATTCTAAAAATTTTCAAGAAATTATCAGAATGGCAAGAAAAGGAAAACAGAAGAATGAGAAATAGAACAAACAACAAATAATAAAATGGTAGACTTAAGCCTTAACTAACAAAAATTACTTTAAGAGGAAATGGTCTAAATATGCCAACTAAAAGGCAGAAGTTGACAGAGTGGATTAAAAAAGAAAACAAGCCCAACAATATGCTGTCTACAACTAACATTTCAAATGTAATGATTGAAAGTAAGCCAGCATACAACATACACATGTAACATACATGCACATGTACTCCCTGAATCTAACATTAAAAAAATACAAAAAAAGAATGGTCATGAGAAAATATGCTATGTGAACACCAATAAAAATAAAATGGGCCAGTAGATATAAAACAATTGAAATAATTTTGAGTACATTATCTGCTAACAGTAGAATCAAGCTAGAAATCAATAATAGAAAGATAATAGAATAATCTCCAAGCATTTATAAATTAAACAATATACTTTTAAAATAATTCATGTGTAAGCTTCAAAGAAATATTTTCTAAAAGTACACAAACCTAAATTAAAATGAAAACATATCAAAATCCATGGAATGCAGCTATAGCAGGACTGAGAGAAATTTATAGCAATGAATACTTAAATTAGAAAAGGGAGGCCAGGTGTAGTGGTTCATGCCTGGAATTCCAGCACTTTGGGAGGCTGAGGTGGGTGGATCATGAGGTCAGGGGATCAACACCATCCTGGCCTACATGGTGAAACTGTCTCTTCTAAAATACCAAAAAAAAAAAAAAAAAAAAAAAAAATTAGCTGGTTGTGGTAGTGCGCACCTGTAGTCCCAACCTCTCAGGAGGCTGAGGTAGGGGAATTGCTTGAACCTGGGAGGTGGAGGTTGCAGTTAGCTGAGATCATGCCACTGCACTCCAACCTGGTGACCGAGTGACACTCCATCTCAAAACAAAACAAAACAAAACAAAAAAACAAACAAAAAGAAAAAAAATAAAGAAAAGGGAAATGCCTAAAATAAATAATCTAAACTCCAATCTCGATAATATAGAAAAAGAACAAAATAAACCCAAAGCAAGCAGAAAGAATGACATAATAAAAACAAATCAATAAAATTAAAAATAGAAACAGGTAGAGAAAATCAATGAAATAAAAGATGGTCCTTTGAAAAGTTCAATGAAATGGATAAACGTATAAGCAAGGCTGACAAATTAAAAAGAGAGATGATACTAACTACCAATATCAGGAAAAGAGCAAGGATTATTACTACAGATTTAGTAGCCCTTCAATGTATAATAAGAAAATACTAACAAACCTGCACATGTACCCTTAAACCCAGTTATAAGAAAGAAAGAGAAAATACTACAAACAACTCTAGAAACAATAACTAGACAACTTAATAAAATACAGCAGTTACTTAAAAGCTACAAACTACCAAAAGCCAACCAATAGGATATAAATAATTAAAATAGTCCTAGAACTATTTAAAAATTAAATTACAGTTAAAACCCTTCTAAAACCATCCCCAGGCACAGATAATGCCACCAGAAAATCCTACCAAATATTTGAAGAAAAATTAACACCAATTTTACACAATTTCTTACTCAAAATAAAAAGTGAAGGATCACTTTACAATTCATTTTACGAGGCCAGTGTTTTTCTAATACCATAACGGAACAAAGAAAGTATAGAAGAAGAAAATTACAGATAAATATCTCTCACAGATTTACACAAAAATCTACCAAGTTGTTATGTTATGCCCAGACCGTTTATTCCCCGAAGAAGACCACCAGAGTCCAGAGTCAAAGCTAAGCAGCAAGGATCTTTATTACAGGTTCGAACCTGGAACTCTCCCTCGCTCGTGAAACGAGACGGGCAGGAGAGCTCCCCCACTCAGCTCCGAACAATGTTATACAGTCTAAGAAAAGTGGGCATAGAGTTATTATACAAATCAGATATATGATTGGCTAGTGTTTGAACAAGGCGATTTGGCTAACTATGATTGGTTCCTGCCATTTCTGATATTTTGGTTCAAACTTTGAGGCGGGAGAGCAGGTTTATGGCAGCAAGAGTTTATCTTACTTAAACACGTCTTGTGACCTTGCCTCAGAACTTACAAAATCTCTGGTATGTGCAAAACAAAATCTCTGGTACGTGCAGAAAACCAGGTACTCACAGAACTTACGAAATCTCTGGTATGTGCAAAGATTAGAGAGCAGAACAAGGGTGTAGCGGGTGGGGGGCGGGTACACATCTATCTTTGTGTCCTTTCAGTTACAAAACAGAATCTAGCTATGTCTATACATAATTTTACAACACGACCAAGTAGATTTTTTTCCAGAGGCTGTAATTCTAGTTGAATATTAAAAAAATTAATCAGTGTAATTTACAATGTCAGCAGGCTAAACAAGAAAAAAAACGTAATCATATTAATTGATGCAGAGATGCATTTGAAAAAATCCAGGCAGAAGGGGTCCTGGTGACGAGTGCCGCGTTCGCTCCCTGAGTCCACTCGCCAGCCCGCCGCCCTCTGCCGCCGCACCCTGCACACCCGCCCCTCTTCTGTGCCAGGAACTTGCTACCACCAGCACCATGCCCTACCAATATCCAGCGCTGACCCCGGAGCAGAAGAAGGAGCTGTCTGACGTCGCTCACCGCATCGTGGCACCCGGCAAGGGCATCCTGGCTGCAGATGAGTCCACTGGGAGCATTGTCAAAGAGGCTGCAGTCCATTGGCACCGAGAACACCGAGGAGAACCGGCGCTTCTACCGCCAGCTGCTGCTGACAGCTGACGACCGTGTGAACCCCTGCATTGGGGGTGTCATCCTCTTCCACGAGACACTCTACCAGAAGGCGGATAATGGTCGTCCCTTCCCCCAAGTTATAAAATCCAAGGGCGGTGTTGTGGGCATCAAGGTAGACAAGGGCGTGGTTCCCCTGGCAGGGACAAATGGCGAGACTACCACCCAAGGGTTGGATGGGCTGTCTGAGCGCTGTGCCCAGTACAAGAAGGATGGAGCTGACTTCGCCAAGTGGCGTTGTGTGCTGAAAATTGGGGAACACACCCCCTCAGCCCTCGCCATCATGGAAAATGCCAATGTCCTGGCCCGTTATGCCAGCATCTGCCAGCAGAATGGCATTGTGCCCATCGTGGAGCCTGAGATCCTCCCTGATGGGGACCATGACTTGAAGCGCTGCCAGTATGTGACCAAGAAGGTGCTGGCTGCTGTCTACAAGGCTCTGAGCGACCACCACATCTACCTGGAAGGCACCTTGCTGAAGCCCAATATGGTCACCCCAGGCCACGCTTGCACCCAGAAGTTTTCTCATGAGGAGATTGCCATGGCGACCGTCACAGCGCTGCGCCGCACAGTTCCCCCGGCTGTCACTGGGATCACCTTCCTGTCTGGAGGCCAGAGTGAGGAGGAGGCATCCATCAACCTCAATGCCATTAACAAGTGCCCCCTGCTGAAGCCCTGGGCCCTGACCTTCTCTTATGGCCGAGCCCTGCAGGCCTCTGCCCTGAAGGCCTGGGGTGGGAAGAAGGAGAACCTGAAGGCTGCACAGGAGGAGTACGTCAAGCGAGCCCTGGCCAACAGCCTTGCCTGTCAAGGAAAGTACACCCCGAGCGGTCATGCCGGAGCTGCTGCTAGCGAGTCCCTCTTCGTCTCTAACCACGCCTATTAAGCGGAGGTGTTCCCAGGCTGCCCCCAACACTCCAGGCCCCGCCCCCTCCCACTCTTGAAGAGGGGGCCTCCTCCTCGGGGCTCCAGACTGGCTTGCCCGCGCTCTTGCCTCCCTCGTGACAGTGGTGTATGGTGTCGTCTGTGAATGCTGAGTCCATCACCCTTTCCAGAACACTGCCAAATAAACAGCTATTTAAGGGGGGGGGAAAAAAAAAAAGAAAAAATCCAACAGTCGTTCATGAAGAAAAAAATTGTTCAACAAGCTAGGATTAGAGAGAAACTTCCTTACCTTGATAGAGTGTTTTTAAAACTTACGGCTAACATTATAATTAATGGTGAAAGGCTTAATTCTTTCCCCCTAAGCTCTAGAATAAAACAAAGATATCTTAATTAACCACTCCTATTCAAAATAGTGCTGAAAATTCTAGCCAATGAAGTAAGTCAAGGAAAAGAAATAAAAGGCATACAGATTGGAAAGAAAAGAATAAAACCGTCACAATTTGCAAATGACATGGTTATTTACATAAATATCCCACAGAATACACCCAAAACTCTTAGAACTAGCAGGTGAGTTTATCAAGGTCACAGGGTACAAGATCAACACACAAAAGCCAATCAAGTTTTTATATTTTAGCAATTGATATATGGAAATGGAAATTTAATATGTGACACCATGTGCAGTCACTCTCAAAATGAATTAAGTATAATTCTAACAAAGCATGTATAGGCTCTGTATGTTGAAAATTAGAAATTTCTGATAAAGAAAATAAAAGAAGATCCAAATAAATGGATATATATATAAAATGTTTATGAATTAAAAGACAATATAGTCAAGATGCCAAATCTCCTGAAGTTAATCTATAGATTTCACATAATTTCTATCAAAATCCCAGCAAAGTTTTTGTTTGTAGATATATACAACTTTATTATAAAATTTATACAAAAAAGCAAAGTATCTAGAATAGCTAAACAATTTCAAAAAGAAACATAAAGTGGGAATAATCACTTTATCTAATATTGAGATTGGTACAGTAATCAAGACTGTATAGTATTGGTGGAGACATACACACATGAATCAATGGAATGATTTTTCACAACAGTACAAAACCAATTCAAATCAGGAAGCATAACTTTTTCAACAAATGATGCTGGACCAATTAGACAACCATAGGCAAGAAAAATTGGCAAAGACCCAAATTTCCCTCAGAGTCAATTGACAGATAACGGTAAACCCCTACAGTGGAGTACCACTCAGCAATAAAAAGGAATGTGTTGTTAATACATGCAACAACTTGGATGGATCTAAACAACTTTATGCTCAGGGAAAAAAGCCATATGCCAAATGCTACAGTAATGTAACACATGTTATCAATTAATCGATTGACTTTGTGGAGTTTTTAAAAACCCAGATTTCAGTTTTGTCAATTTTCTCCATTAAAATAAAATATTTCATTGGTTGTTCTCTTATCTGTTTTATTATTTTCTTTCCTTTTGCTCACTTTAGGTTTTCTTTTTTTTTCTCTCGTTTCTTAAGGTGGAGGCTGAGATAATTGATTTCAGTCTTTTCTTGGTTTCTGAAATAGTCTATAAGTTTTCTCTAAATATTGATTTAGTGGCATCCCACACAGTTTGAGATGTATTTTAATTTTCATTCAGTAAGAAATACTTTCTAATTTTTCTTTTGATTTCTTTCTTGACCTGTGTGTTTTTAATTTACACATTGATATTATTTTTAGTTGACAAATCATAATTGTATACATGTATTGAGTACAATATGATGTTTTGATATATGTATATAACATAGAATGATTAAATCTGGCTAATTAACATTTCTATCACTCACTTCATTTAATTTTTATGGTGAGGCATTTGAAATGTACTCTGTTAGTATTTTGAAATATAATCATATATCACATAATTTTTTGGTTAACAGTGAAGTACATGTATGATGGTGTCTTCATAAAATTATATTATAGTATTTTAACTTAACCTTTTCTATGTTTAGATGTGTTTAGATACACAAATACTTATCATGATGTTACAATTGCCTACAGTAATCAGTATACTCACAATGTGTACAGCTTTATAGTCTAGGAGCAATAGGCTATTTTACATAGCGTAGGTGCATAGTAGGCTATACCAAGTAGATTTGTGTAAGTAAACTCTATGATGTTCACATAATGACGAAATCACCTAATGACATGTTTCTCAGAAAGTATCCCTGTAATTAAGTGATGCGTGACTGTATACATTATTATTGATCATGATCAACCTGCTGTGTAATAGATCTCAAAACATCTTCCTTCTGTCTATCTGCAACTTTGTACCCTTTGACCAAGAAGTCCTCACTCCCTCCATCACTCCCCTTCCAGACTCTGATAAATATCATTCTACTGTCTACTTTTATGAGTTCAATGGTACAGAAATTACATATAAATGAGATTATGTGGTATTCGTTTTTCTGTGCCTAGCTTATTTTACTTAGCATAATGTCCTCCAGGCTCTTCCACACAGTCACAAATGACAGAATTCCCTTAATTTTTAAAGGCCAATAAGTATTACATTGTGTATATGTATACCACGTTTTCTTTATTCATTTTATCCACTGATGGACACTTAAGTTTCATCTATATATTGGCTATTATGAATAATGCTGTAATACACATAGAAGTGCAGCAACCCTTTCGAATTACAGATTTCATTTCCTTTGGATAAACACACAGAAGTGGGATTCTTGGATCATATGGTAGTTCTATTTTTAGTTTTTTGAGAAAACTCCATACTGTATTCCATAATCATTTTACTAATTTACATTCCTACCAAAAATGTCAAGAATTTTCTTTCCTCTGTATCCTTGCCATGTTTATCTTTCATCTTTTGTAGAAAGCCATTCTAACATGTGTGAGGATATATCTCATTATAATCTTAATTTGCATTTATCCTAGTGATTAGCTATGCTTATTCTTTTTTTGAATGTTCCTGTTTGCCATTTGTATGCATTCCTTTGAGAATGTTTATTCAAGCCTTTTGTCCACTTTTTAATTAGGTTTTTTTTGTTTGTTTTTCTGCTATTGAGTTGTTTGAGTTCTTTATATATTTTGGATGTTAACTCCTTATGAGCTGCATGGTTTGTTAATGTTTTCTTCCATTCTATGGGCTGTCTTTTTACTCTGATAATTATTTCCTTTCTTGTGCAGAAGTTTTTTAATTTGATGTCATTCAATTTGTCTATTTTTGCTTTTGTTGTCTGTTCTTTCGGGATCATACTGAAAATATCATTGTTCACACCAATGTTGTGGAGCTTTCCTCCTATGTTTTCTCATAGTATTTTCATAGTTTTGGGTCTTATATTTAAGTCTTTAGTGGTTTGAGTTGAGTTTTGCATATGATGCGAAATAAAGATCCAATTTCATTCTTTTGCATGTAGATAAACAGTTTTCCCAACACAACTGTTTGAAGAGACTGTCTTTTCTCCATTGTGTGTTATTGGCATCTTTGTCAAAAATAAATTGGCCATAAATGTATGGGTTTATTTCTGGGCTATGATCCTGTTCCATTAGTCTATGTGTTTGTTTTTATGCCAATATCAAGCTGTTTTGATTGCTATAGTCTCGTATTAGAGTTTGAAATCAGGGAGTGTGATGCCTACAGCTTTCTTCCTTTTGCTTAAGATTGTTTTGGCTACTTGAGGTCTTTTGTGATTCCATACAAATTTAAGAATTCTTTCTTATTTCTGTGAAAAATGACATTTGAATTTTAATAAAGATTGCATTAAATCTGTAGACTACTTTGGGTGACATGGCCGTTTTAACAATATTAGCTCTTCCAATACATAAACATGGGATATTTTCTAATTTATTTGTTTTCTTCCATTTCTTTAGTCATTGCTTTATAGGTTCAGTATAATTCTTTCACCTTCTTGGTCAAATTTAGACCTAGGTATTTTATTTATTTTGTTGTTATTGTAAATAGGATTGTTTTCCTAATTTCCTTTTCCAATATTTCTTTATTAGGATACAGAAATGGTACTTATTTTTGCATGTTGATTTTGTATCTTCCAACTTTACTGAATTTATTGATCAGTTCCAACAGTTTTGTGGTGAAATATTTGGGTTATATAGATATATCATCTGTTAGAGCAAAGAGTAAATAAAGACACTTTTACTTTTTTCTTTCATATTGGGATTTTTGTTTTGTTTTGTTTTTGTTGTTGTTGTTGTTGCCTGATTGCTCTGAATAAAGCTTCCAGTACTATGTAAAAAAGATGTGTTGACACTGGGCACCGTTGTCTTGTTACTGATCTTAGAGGGAAAGCTTTCAGCTTTTCACTATTTAGTGTGATATTAGCTGTGGGTTTTTCATATATGGCCTTTATTGTGTTGATGTACATTCTCTCTATACTGAATCTGTTGAGAGTTTTAAAATTTTTATTTATTTATTTATATTATTATTATTTTTGAGATGGAGTCTCCCTCTGTCGCCCAGGCTGGAATGCAGTGGCCGGATCTCAGCTCACTGCAAGCTCCGCCTCCCGGATTTATGCCATTCTCCTGCCTCAGCCTCCCGAGTAGCTGGGACTACAGGCGCGGGTCACCTCGCCTGGCTAGTTTTTTGTAGTTTTTAGTAGAGACGGGGTTTCACCATGTTAGACAGGATGGTCTCGATTTCCTGACCTCGTGATCCGCCCGTCTCGGCATCCCAAAGTGCTGGATTTACAGGCTTGAGTCACCGCGCCCAGCCTATTTTTGTTTTATTTTTTGTGTGTGTGCTTACTAAAACATTTTATTTTCATAGTTTTCCCAAGAATTGATCAATCTAAATCCAACAGGAAATGAAAGTCTACCCAAGAGCAGACAAGTCCAGGAAAAACTATGCTAACTGATTTGCATGTGGATTAGTAGTTATTAACACCTTATTTGATTTTTTGGAGGCACTTAGAGTAGACTTCTGTGGCTCATTTGAATTATGGATGAGCTGGGCTAAAGCTAATAGGGCTACATTTGTCTTTGTTCTATTGGTTCTGAATTACCCATCTGGAACTATAGTTATGTTCGTTTTGTGTGTGGCCTTTCCTTTTTTTAATTTCTTTTTTCTTTTTTTACTTTAAGTTCTGGGATACATGTGCAGAGCGTGCAGGTTTGTTGCATAGGTACACGTGTGCCATGGTGGTTTGCTGCACCTATCAACCCATCATCTAGGTTGT